GTTTGTTTGGGGAATTTTATCTTTTCTTCTCTTGATCCGAGCAGAACAAACAAATTAAAGGCCCTGTCATGTTTCAGTGTGCAGTGTGAAGCCGAGCAGAAAGGATAAATCCTGCAATGTTAATATGTCTTTTTCACAGCAAACATTTTGACTTGCCACAGTAGCAAAAGCACAGGTCTTACTAATAACATCAACAATGACTCTGTGCCAGTGTCACAGTAAATCATGACAGTGTGACAGTGAGCCAGCATGCACAACAATAGGACCCTGAAACTGAGGCACTGAATGGCATCCAGCATCCAGAGTACTAGTTCAGATTAGTTCAACGGTTTAAGAGCCTCCACCTCGAAGGCAGAGTCTGCAGCTGCAGCCGACATGACCTCATAATCAGACTGAACTGCCATTTCATTTCACTTCTATTCATTCATTCATTTTTTCTCTATTTGAATCACTGAACAAATCGCAGATTAGAGCTCTGGAACCAGGCTACAACCAACAAGCCCTGGATTCAGTTTCACAAAGACAGACCTTGACTATTGCTTAAGCAGGATTTAGACTCCTTCCGAACTGCATGTTGCACAGCAGCAGACCCCCCCCCCCCCCCCCCCCCCCCCCCCCCCCCACACACACACACACACTTTTCCGACAGATAAGGCGGTGTTGTGTCTGAACATTTCTGCAACTTTCCAAAACCGAAGGTGAGAAAGGAGCCAGGCACTGCACTTCTCCTCTCTACCTCTCTTTTTTCACTTGTTACTCATCTATTTGTGCCACTTTCCATGTCAACAGCCGAGTGCAACACAATGAATGACTTCCTCGAGAGATTATGCACCGCTATCTACATTTTCCAGTCTGGCCTTTCGCAACAACCAGCACATTGGATTTTCCAGCGAAGGTAAACTACACGTCTTAACAGCTAGTTCTGAGAGACCATACACCAGCTCTCAGATCAATAGTGAGACCTCAAAGGAGCGTCTAGATCCATCAGTTGCATCACTAGTTCTTGTCTTAGGTCATCATTTGTGGGTAAATTCAGATATTTTTCAATCTAAAAGCTATGCCATATGCACTGTCTGCCATTTATTTTTTGTGTGTAAATCTATTAACTATATATTGCACTAAAAAAATTCTACAATGCAACAAAAAAGGGCTTTCTGATAACACAGTCCAATGCATTGCCCTATCATCTGACTCCCACACCCACCTGCTCATATTCCCCAGTCACTCACTTGGTATTTTTACCAACCATTTCCACCTGCTCTCTGCAAGATTTTTTCATTCTTGCCTTGTGCCTTTGCTTTCCAGCCACCTGTCCCTGAACCAGGATCTGAAATCTGGACCTGCACCTTCTTCCTGCCCTATGTCCTGCCCTTATGTCCTTTTCCTCGCTGCCTCGACAAGATGCGAAAATTACTGTTGTGCCACTCAACAGCTGCCAGTGATGACACAAAATGATGGTGATTGCTAAGAGTCCGAAATCTCAATATACTGCTCACTACTGAGTAAATTACTGAGCGTCCACTGCACAGGGAGCAGTAAATGAGTGAGAAAGAGAGTGATTCTGAACACAGCCAGTGTCTGTCTAAGCCACCACATCAAATGTCTCAGCTCCTTTTACTCCAGCAGAAGATTTTTGCCTTCTGTAATAATTCAACAGTTACAAGCACTTTTTACTGTGGGGAAAAGTGTAACAATAAAAAAAAAACTTCCACTAGTATAAAATCTCAGTGCAGTGCAGACCTGTAGCAGACCAGTCAGGCTTTTCTGTGCACAATAAATACATATATCCTCAGTGATGAATATTTCCATGGGGTTACTGCGGTCTGTAAAAAGTCCTTCTCTTCTCATTACTCGCTCCAGCACATGTTAGCATTAGTTCTGAGTTAGCCTGGGGACAGACTGGCTAACTTTTTAGGCTTGAAATATGTTTGAATATGTTAAAATCTTACAGGACTCATGAACTTTATTCTCAGCCCATCCACATACGAGCACACAGTAGGGATGGCATTTAATTTCTCTTTGGCCAATGGTGCTGCTATTGAGATTTAAGCAGTGCGACACAAAACAGTGAAGAGAAGATGCAAAAGGACAACATAAGGTGTGTGGAGAGAAACAAAAACAAGACAAGACAAAACGGTGGAAAAGGGGAACATTGTAAATAACTATTTCTAAACAATGACCTCTGAGTGGTCGTGATCAGAAGACGTAGAGACCGACAGGTGATACAGCGCTGCAGTGACTCTCTCATGTAAGCAGGTGTCTGACCATGCAGGGCTCTAAAAGTGATCACAAGAATCCTGAATTTAACTCAAAACTTGAAAAGGAGCTATTGTAAAGAAATAATAGACCAGAGTTGCTACTTGCTGCCAGACACATCTGATAAATGAGGTAGTCTGATCTTGCTACTTCAAACAGCATTCAGAGACATAAAAAGGGCTTCCAGCAGTTTTGCTTTCACCGGCTTCATAGGAAAAATAGTAAAATTGCCCCAAAGCAAAAATATCATCCTGAAGCTGCTTCAGTGCGGCTGCTACAGTAAGTGGCAGTGTGTAGAGCTCCTCTCCGGTGTCATTGTATATGAATGTGTGTGTATAAATGTCCCCCACTAAAAACATACCTACAAACCCACAACACATAGAAGCTTGTTTCTAACTCTCCTCGTTGAATCAAGGTAAAAACAAATATATGATTCTACACAGTTCACACACTTGACACAACATGTTATGTTCCTCCATACACCACCTCAGACGTCCACTGAAGATAAATGGGAAAAAAAAGAGAGAGAAAGAAAACTACCATAAAACTTAATCCAATCTATTCAGTGAGGTTGCTGGGTGGAATGATCAATGTTCAGGTCCAAATTAAAAACCACGTCACATGCCAATGACTATTGGCAACAGTGTCGGGCGTGCCAGGAGCAACAGCAGGGTTTTATGGCAGAGACATCACAGTCAGAGAGCTCTACTTTTTGCCGCAGGGAAAACTTACTCGTGCATCAGTCGGTCACACATATATAATGTCAGTGGACTGTTGCTCCACTGCATTATTCCACATCTCTTCTCCACAAGGGTTTAATTTTAAAGGACACTGCTGTACAATGCCACCCCTCCTTTGTTCTGAAGTAGGAAATGGTAATAAAAAAGATGAAACGGTAGATGTAAACATGTACACAGAGCCATGGGGATTCAACTAAATAAATAAAACGCTCAAAACAGTGTTTGATCATAAATTTTAACAAGGACTTGTCGGCACAGATTCAAAACATTTTATACACAGACTGATAAACACACCCCGACGTGATCATCACAAAACATGGAAAAAAAAAAAACAAAGATAAAAGTATTAATCTGTCTGTCTGTCTGCACTCTAAATGTCTGTCTGTACTTCTGGGAATAAAAGATGTACAAGCTCACACCACTACTCTGACAACTTTCTACCAGAGTAGGTTTCGATTCCAACCAGCAGCATCCACAGAAGAAAAACTCAGCAGGTATCCTGAGGTCAGAAAGTTACACGCTTTTCCTTCGGTTCCCTCAGAGGTTTGCTATTTGTTTGCTGTGGGGGGTTCATCATTTTTTAACCCACTATAAATATATAATCTCATGATTTTACATTGTGTGTCGTCAGCTCTCTACTATTCAAACACTAAATCAAATGCACTGTGTTTTAAAAATGACCTTCATTTTAAAGGACATGTGGTGATATTCTATATTTTTTAATTGTAAAAAAAAAAATCATCCCCTAGCGATGTCGTTTTTAGCAAACATTATTCACAGAGGAGTAAATAGCACATTTGTTATAGGGACTATTTCGGAAACACTTTATTTTACAGGTTCTGTATTTTCCAGCTAATTTCCTGGAAATGTTCATCGTAATTTCTTTAAAAAATTACTGAGCTGCTATTCAGCTGTAAATTAACAGGATATTTCCAAAACTGGCAAGTTATTAACTTGAATATAAAGTGGTTATAAACACTCTCTATTTCCCTTACATCCCGTAACTTTGTGTTTGAGTAGTAAATCACGGAGCTCAAACCCAGTTTGTATAGATGGGTGCTGAATCCTCAAAAGTAACAATCAAAAATCAGAAGCAGGACAACACTCTAACACTTAAATTGCTTATTCATCCATATTCAGAGTGTGTTCCTTCATCACAGCTGACTCCTTCAACAGGTAGAATCACATGTAAACCCACTTTTGTTGTTTATTTACATACTTACTTTACGGTTTGCCCATGTGATTTATATCATGTTGGCAAAGAGAAAATGTACATTAAAAACTCAAATTTGTGAACAGAAATGTTCCATTAGGAATCATGATGAGGAGTCTGCTCCAGTGCATTTCATTTCCTATAATCATACAGTTAATGACCTTCACTTTATGGGCATTGAGGTTGTTCAGGATCTCTGAGGGTGGGTGGGGAGGGGGAGTGATTGAGAAAAGAGGTTACTGCAGAGAGTCTTTTGGATTAATTATCTGACCACGTTAATACCGACTGCCTTGAATGAAGACTCCACGTGATCCTTTTTTTTGTAATATAATTTATGTTCAGTGAGGGTTGTTTTTCATTGCAAATATTGTGAGTGTTATTTGCAAAATAAGGATGTCTATATATATCTATATCGATATATAGGATATCTCACCAGCTAGCTGTAACATGCTGTTATTTTTATTTTTTCAAAAGACAAAAATTCTATGGCATTATATATTTTATATGGGTAAGGTGATATATCAAAAAAGCTATCTGTCTTAAACACTTTGTTATTCAGTTTGAAGTTGCTCATCCTTTTTACTGGTCCAAAGTCAAATTGACTAAATTTAAAAGAGACACTACATATGATCAATGATTGTGTTATTGACCAAATATGCACTTACTGCTTTTTAGCTTCGTAGGGCAGAATTTATGGTTTTTCATCAGATTTGTTGACAATCAGGGAAAACTAAGAATATCATTACACTTATCCTTTAATTAGCATCTAATCTTCCTCTGAGACAACTTACCACTTTGAAGTCTTCTGCTCTGCATTCAGTGCCATGAAAGTGGCAGGAGAGCAGCATATCGTTGATGTCGTGACCGGTGCGGTCATAAAATTCCCGCATGTTGAAGGGTCGTGGTTTGAAATTGTGGAAGTCGGCTTTGACCTTCAGGCTCTCCAGAACGCTCTCCTCCACAAGGTGAATGTCCCTGATCTCATACCTGCACAGACAGACAGAAAGAAAAAGAGAGATCAGTGAAATATTTTACACATTTCTAAATGCAAATTTTGTGTCCTGTAGTTTGGTACGGATTGATGCATTTCCTCGAACAGTAGGTCTTCACAGTGAATAATCACTGCCTGATGATAAAGCAGACTTCATAAAAAGTGAATTTCAGCCTTCAAACCTTTTTGCACACTTCAGGAAGGTTTATGAGTCTCTATCAGTGAACATTTACTCCAGGGTTTAAAAATTCAGTCCAGAATGAATCAAAAGGGATAGAAAACAGACGGTAAAAATGTACAAGATGGCATTTTCAGTCTCTGAAGTGATGGTACTACCTCAGTGTAATGCTTTATTGTACAATGTGTAATAAAGTTCAGACAAGAGCTGTACGGGCCTATAAACCCAGTCGTCCATTTCCTGATGATGCAGCAGCTTCAGGCCACACAGTAGTTCAACTCCAGTCTCACTTATCTGGATTCAGACTTGGAGAAAAATGTGTTTGTGTTCATGTTGATTCGATTGTTTTTGCCACGAGGACATTTTGTTAAACTTTCATGCAAATTCTTAAACTGACTGATAGGTCCCTTTAATAATAAGCCTGACTAAAACATTAAAGGCATGGCAAATGCACAGAAAGAAGAAGGACTGTGAGTGAAGTCACTCATTACAAGTATGCTCATTATTTTTTTCAAAGTCAGTGAATTCTTCCTGTCACTTCTTCCGCTACAAGAAAGATACATTTCTACGAATTGCTATGCTTTGACCCAAATCCAACATAAAAAAGCAAATCAACACATGCAGAATTAGATCTTCTTTCATTTTGTTATTCATTTATTTCCTTGTGTAATATAAGATATTGTTATGATGGATCCAAGGATGGCACATGCATATTGTAACTTTTTAAGTTGATATGGTAAACTTATAGAAAACAGTTGCTTATTTACACATCCAGCAGTTACATTATAACATTATCCTTCATTTGGAGTCAAGTTTATGGCCACCTGTCATGTACGGTGGATTTTTACAGCTTTTCCACTCAAAACTGGAACCTGCTGCAGCCGAACAAAACGCTCGGAGAGCAGTGAGAGTGAAAACAGTAAAGTTGCAGCTGGACAGCTGCAACAACAACAATGAGCTGAAACTCACTATAAACCTCCATAAATCTGGGGAGAATTGTAGATTCTGAAAGTTCATCACTACGAGTGACTGCTTTCACATTGTCACATAATTTTCACATTGTTCATGTTTGATCCATTGTTAGTTTATACAAATAAAGATCATAGCCACTTTAAGACACCTAGCATGATACAATAAGCTAAGATGATACACATGGTAAACATTGAACCTGCTACACATTAGCACGTTAGCATGGCTGTAGACTGTTGGATTTGCTTGTGTATCGTTAGAGATTCTGTACAAGCAACTGCTTTGCATTTGATATTTGGTATCCATATCTAATATACTGTGTGTTGTGTCTGGTCCATAAATTCGATTTTGTAATTTTGAGATGTTAGGATTATCATTTTCTGGTTTTACAGTTATTAGACTTTTTAATGAAAAGAACAATTCATTTCACCTCATGTTTCATCATATCCTCATCACTAATTATAGGTTCTCATCATTCATTTTCTCATCATCTTCTTATCATTTTCGTTAGTAATATCTTGTGAGCAGCAACAGCCATGCCACATTATTGATAGCTTTATATTCAGTTGCATTTCTGTGATATTTAATTTTGTCTGTATCAGCAACCATTGCTTTTGTTTAAACTACACTGACAATAAAGGCATCGAGTGACTGAGTGGGGAGCCGGTCAACCACATCACACGCAGTTATCAGTGGCACTGGGAAATTTCCTTTTATTTAATGGAGCTCACAAAAATCTGACCATGCCGCCTTGTATTAAAAGAGAGTGGAATAGCTGTAACTGCGCCTGCTCTCTACCCTCGCTGTGATCTCCCACTGAGCTATTATTAAAAATGTCACCATTTTAATGGACTCACCAAAGAGTAGATTGCTTGGAGTTTATTTCTGAACACTATCTCAACTGAAAGGCCTTTTAGAAATTTCACATATGAATGTAGCTACTGGGGTGAATATTGATCTTTTGTGTAACATAGTATTAATGCCTCCTACATGTTTTATGTATTGCATGAATAAGAATGAGATTTGGCGGTTTACGTTCTTCAAACAACAGCTGGCGATGTGTGACATAAAATTACAACATCACAGTTAAACATTAAACTGTTATATTTCTTATAAAACTTGGAACAAGGTGCAGTAATCCTTTTGTTTTTCATTTTCATTCAAGACAAAGGGCCATTTAACAGTCCAACTAAAATCTTCCAAACATTAAATCAATAATAACTTGCCTCATTTAGGTTTAAAAATGAGTTCATACATTTTTTTGGTGACAATAAGGATTAGGCTAAACCCCATTATGGCAGAGGCGGAGAGTGTTTTTGTTTGATTGAAAGAGAACTTAATTGAGGAGAGGCATTTGCTCCCCACTGTTTGTGTAGTGGACAAACCTGCCAAGAAGGCACTTATGAGATAAAATCCCATAAGTATGAGCCGTCAGGATCGACGAAGGCTGACACTTCAGCATGTGTGCAGCTTAAATATCATGCCACAAGACATTTCCCAGATCAGTGACTCCAAACATGGGAAGTAGGCGGAGAATAGTCTTAAATGGATTTCATGCCACAAGCACTTTCATTTCTGGCCGGGGGTATAACAGCTAAGTGTGCCGTTTCATCGCCTCTCTTGCCAAGGGAGGCAGGATAATGAGCACTAAACCTACTTCAGAGTGTAAGAGTTGAGATGAGTACATGGAAAAGGAAACTTAGAAGAAAAATCAGTCCTGTTTATGCTTTGGTCTCCAACTTTGAAAAGTCTTCCTTATGAGATTAGGAGACGTATTCGTGTAAAAACATCCAGATGGCAAGTGCTGATTATCAGTCACACCACTGTCACTGGGAAAAAAAAATGCCAATTTTAGTTTTCAGTCTGGGATCTTCATTAAAGATTTAGGGCAGAAGTTGGCTGCATACCCACAAAAAAGTAAAACCACCAGAGTCCTTTAGCATTGGATGCTGTCCTGTCCTCGATCTATTTAACTGACAGACGGTCAGAGGTTTACGTCATTTCAGCTGTGAGCTTTTACTTTCTACCGTTTTTGATCACCCAGATAAAAAACACACACACACACACACACACACACACACACACACACACACACACACACACACACACACACACACACACACACACTCTCTCTTTTCCTGAAATACTACATGTGCTGCATGACACCGTCTTGCTGATTGGTTCATTATCACTGCCTCTGTTGACATTTGGACAATATTGCAACACCACAGGGAGAGCAACATGTTTATCAAACAGCCTCCAAAGCCAAGATTAGTCACAATCTTTCTGTCTCTTTGTCTGAGTTCCCTCTTCCTTAACCTCTGCTTCTTGGACACCCTTGTGCATGATCTTAATCACTGAAAATATGTCATTCATCCAAAACTGTTCTTTTTGTTTGGTATGGCAACAATCAAAAGAAGCAAAATCTTTGACAGATCAGAACCAAGTGGATATAATAGCAGCTTTGCTGAAGTTTCAGAGACATGAGGACTTAAATGTATAAATGACAAAATACCCAAAGTATCTGTCATTTCTCTTGTAATCATGGGAAGCAGAATCTCCACATCTTTCCCTCCTGTGCAAACAGTAGCTACATGCTGTTGCCAGCTCCAGTATGCAGAGCCTTCAGCTGCACGACAAGACGGCTGGAGTTTTCTGATTATAATGCCGCAGTTAATTCAAGCCTGACAAGCCTGCTCTCCCAACACAGCAAGACTCAACAAGATAGAAAACTATTACAGCTTGTTGGATGAGTGTGACACAAGTACTAGATCCTTTAAGTGACAATAATGTCACACTGTAAAAATACTCCAGTGCGAATAAAACTCCTGCATTGAAAGTACAGTATTACTACCAATGGGGTGGAGGGATGGGGCAGGGCCCAGGGAAGAATTCATTAACATTTAGTGCCAATCTGGTTAAAGAGGCAGATTCAGGATTTTTTTACCACCTTGTTTAACATTGTGATCGTCATTTTCTGAGGACATCAGCATATAATGTATGGATCTTAATGTAAAAAAGAAAAAATCAGACATATTTATGTTGTTGAGAACTCAGTACCATTCTAGCTACTGAGGCATTAATGTGTGAGCAGCATTTCACTGTTGTAGATGGTCGAGGTGGAGCCAATCTTAAAAATTGTTTATGTTAGATATATTTTAATCAAAATTAATATATCATATTTTATAAGATTATTGTAGCTTTTTATCTCAATTCTTAATCTGCATAGCTACTAGTAACAATAGCTGTCAAATAAATGTGAGAGTGGAGTCAAAAGTACAGCATTTCCCTCTGAAATATAGTGGAGTAGAAGTATAAAGCGGCATCAAATGGAAACTCAAGTACTAGTACCTCAAGTGCAGTACTTGAGGAAATGTATACACCCCTAACAACTTATCATGACAGACTGTAAAAGGAAAAGGTGGAGAGTTTCTGTGAAGAAATCATTAGATGTAAAGGGGGATGTAAAATGCAACGGATAAAGAATAAATAAAGGACAAATAATAATTAATAAGCCACATGCAGTAGAAAAAGCTTTGAACATTGCATTCTGGGCAACATTAATCTGACTGTGTGCATACCTCTGGTTGAGCAGGGCCAGCAGCTCCCCTGCGTGGTACAGGTCATTGCGCGTCACCCGACTGAAGCGGAACGCGTTCAGGTTGCAAAAAGTGACTGCGGGGAACGTCATGATCGGGGTCGTGACCTCGTCCAGTTTGGTGACGTGCGGGTACTCGAGGTAGAAGTGGATCCGGTCCACGCACACGTACAGCAAGAAGGTCAGGGAGCCCAAGAAAAACACGACCCACAGGCAGCGTTTGATGCAGAACCGCTCGTATGTGAAGATGTGAGAGATTCCGTGCAGGGTCGAGCTGTGCGCAAAAACTTCTATGGGTGGAGGTTGATTTGAGTCCATTTCTTCAGTTTCTACTTTGAGATCCATTGTCACTGTGCAACAAGCCCCAAGCAGATTCAAGACACTCGCTGTGAACAGAAACTGAGCCGATATTCATTCACCTGTGGCATAAACTGCCATTATCCACCCGAACAGGTGCAAACGTGCTGATGACCACTGTTGGACTTGGTGCGGTTTAGTCGCCATCTCTCATGCACACTGACAGAGAAACATTTCGAGCATCTGTCGCTCTTTTAAAAAGTCACACGAGTGGGAATTGTGAGTAAAAGTAGTAACGCATTTCACAGAGGCAGGCAGGCAAAAGCAGGATGACTCTTCAAAGGCATGCATCACCAAGATGTCAAAACGAGGGTCCATCACCACTGCGCTACAGTGATGTTTTGCAGGTTTCTCACTGGGTCGCAGTGAAGAAAAGAAGAAAAAGAAGGACTGACAAAGTGTTTTATCAGCCTGTGAATTCGCTGGTCGATTATAAGTCCAGTGAAGTACACGTCATTCCTGCACGCCAACAAGAGGAAACCCGGAGACCGAAGAGAAGGAGAAATCCTTTTGACACTTCAGCTCATTTATTAAGAGTTCCTGTGTAGCTGTGCTGCACGCACGTCCCGTTCACTCAGTAGGTTTTCAGATCAGAGCAGGAGATTTCCTCCTCTCACAAATCTGTAAACGTGTATGGAGGTCAGACGGTTGGTTGTTCTGGTCGGTATTGAGTCGTGAGCTTTCCCCCGCTCTAGTTTTTATGTGTGTCTGGTAACAGCAGCGGCGGTGGATGAGAGGGGAGAGGAGAGTGGACTGACGCTCTGCTGTGCACCTGAGAGTTACTGTAGTTTCACATGTTCACTTCACAAGACCGCAGCCGAGTAAAAGCAGAGAGAGAGAAAGAGAGAGGGAGAGAGAGAGCGAGCGAGAGAGAGAGACAGAGAGAGAGGGGGAGAGAGAGAGAAAGACAGAGAGAGAGAGAGAGAAAGACAGAGAGAGAGGGGGAGAGTGGGTCCTTAAGGGGTTCACAGAGTAGTATGTGCCAGGCATTACTACCATTTTCTGTTCTGTATGGTGATTTCAAAATATTTGTTTCATTAGAGTGAGAGAAACGGATTGTATCATAACAATCACCAATTAAAGCCAAAGAAAAAGAAAAATACACTGCACATAAACCTCCATGTTATATTTGGATCAAAACACAATACCAAGAGGCAGAAACTTGAGAAGGACATTAAAGCGTCACTCCAGCAGTTCGGCTTTTTGTCATCAGCGTAAATGCATTGTGTGCTCTAATGCTGTCACTAAGTGGCAGCATGTACAATGAGAATAATAACAGACAAAGGCAGCTCCCTTCAGCAACCCCAAAGCAGATGTCATGTTTCTCAGATACATAATCTCCAAGACTGACAAAACTTTTTGCCTTTGATTTTGTACGTTTTGAACCAGTTAACCAGCAGTCAGGAAGCCCAACCAACTTTTCAAGACAACTGATTAGGATTTCATAGTCAGCTGTGTCAAACCCTGTGCCCAGGTCTGAGAGGACAAGAACTGAGACCAAATTTTCATCAGAGTTTAATCTGAGGTCCCTGATTATTTTAGTAAGAGCAGTTTCTGTGCTGTGGAATATTCTATAGCCAGAGGTTATGAGGTTTATTTGCACAGAACCGATTTATTCAAGTATCAACTGATGAATGTATTACCATCTTTGGGTTTCTTTAGCAAGGGTTTGATTTCATCTCTCTCACTCACTCTCACTCTCACACTCTCTCACACTCACACACACACACACACACACACACACACACACACACACACACACACACACACACACACACACACACACACACACACACACACACACACACACACACACACCCACACACACACACACACACACCTCTTCAGAAGCTAGAAACAGAATTAAAAAAAAAAAAAAACAATGCTGAGAATCAACTAATGTGCAAACTATTTTTTCCCCCTTTTTTCTTACATTCTGAATTAATTAAATTCAAACTTGAATTTTAGAGTGGTGGTGAGGACTTCACTATGTAGATTTGAATTATGAACCACACGTCTACAAGGAGAGAGGGGGGGTGGGGGGGTGTCTGTCTGAACTGCAACACTCCAAAACAAAGTCATTACCAGGCACTAAAGTAGAAAAGAAAATTAATGATACAGTCTTTGACATGTTTAGATTGGACCATGAATAAACAATGACATTTAGTCCCCAGTTGGATACTGGTGTGAAAAATGGATCTGGCTGTGCTTCAAGGCTGAATCAAGCTTTGTTAAAATGACAAAATATTTATTACATGTCATAAAAGATGCATTACCCACCTTGAATGCATCAGCATGAAGAAAAAAATCCTAATCTGTGACATTAAAAGTCCTAGTATATTCGCCACTGTGCCCAGAGGCTGCTCTTCTCTCAAATCCAGCATAAACAACCATTGTTAGTGCATAAATATGCATTAAATTTTGAAGGCTTAAGCAAACTTTTCCCAAAGGTGTATGGTTTCAGACGTGTGACTGTGTGATAGTTTGTTAATGATATTTTTCTTATCTGTATATAGGGTTATGGTGGTGTGGTGTTGTGGATATCGCTATGGATAGATTAATAAGTGACACAAAACAACTACAAAGAGACAAAATGACCACACAGAGACTCAAAACAACAAACAACTATGCCCTCTCTACCATGGCACAGGGTGTAGTAGAAGTTGTAGTATTTCTAACCTATTACGACCTGATGCCAATATTTTTTTACTCTACATTTAAATTTGACTATTTTTAGGCCAGCAAAATAAATGACGGATTCAATATTTCTTCACCAGCATGTAACAGTTGGCAGTGTGGAGAAAGCTTTGAAACAGGATTTAGACATATGTCATGAAATGAATGGGTAATGCTTTATTTCATAATTTTCTAATAATTTCATAATTTTTTTCCTGAAAAGAACTATATCACCTGGTACTATTTATATGGAAAAGAATGCTCTGATACAATCATTTTTGTCAATGATTTAGTTAGCTGAGTCAATGATTGCCAGAAGACTTTGCTTGGGAAAAAACAAAACAAAAAAAACACCAGATCCATTCAACCCCTTACCCCCTTTAAAGTTATTAATCACATTATTCCACACAGTGACAGTGGCATATACTGTTTATTTTTTATATAATGTTTGTTCCATCTCTTGAAGCCATATGATATCAATCACTATTCTGATAATCAAATAATAAGGAGGTTAATGGGAACTTGGTGGCGACAGGGGGGCCCACTCAGAGTGTGACAGGTAAATGACAAGTAGGGGTCCACAGCAAATGTTTGCACATTGGCCCCTTAACAGATTAATCCAGCCATGGACTTGACAGGTGTGACAGACAGGCTGCTGTCCGTGGTGCTGATGTTTCCCGGTGGTCGGGCAGGTCTCAGTGTTCCTCTCCAGACCTGTAGGGGGCGGCAGAGCGCGCTGCAGCTACATGTTGATAAGCAGAAGAAACTGAGACATGTGAGCAGCAGCAGTGAAAACATGGCGACGCCTCTTAGTGCAGCTCATGTATGTCGCCTGGCGGGACGGACTGTCGCCTCCCTGTCAGCCAGACACAGGCGGGCTGTGAGCCTGCCAGCGAGGAGATGCTACGTATCCACTTCGACGGGGAGAAGTGAGTTGATGTTTGTGATGTGAAACAAAGGAGGGATGTTAGCTTGTGAGTCCGCAGCTCAGAGGTCAATGTCCCATTAGGCGCAGCCGAGCCTGACAGCAAATGATAAATGTCATGTATTTTTCTGGGCTTTTCCCGTTAAAGTCCGGCTTTCCTGCCACAGTAATGAAGTTGCTACTGCTGTCGCCATATTTACGAAGTAACGGCCACATTTCTTCAGGACAAAAACAAATACACAAGCAAAACCAGGGGAAGTCGAGGAAATGTCCTGCCCATGTTTCCCAGTCCGTTTGAGCAGCCCTGTAGCTGGCTTTGCAAGAGAGACCTATAGTAGAGAGTAGGTCTTGCATATTTTTAATTCCTGTCATCATCATCATCAACATTTTATTTAATTACTGCTATGAAATTATGACCACGGTGAAACAAAATTTGCAGTGGCAATATAAATTAAATTCCTAATCAGATCACAGAATTCAGTGTAACTCTGGTGACGGTATTAGGAAAACTCCTTTCACTTGTATGCCTCTTTAGGTTTTGTTGTGCAAATTCAAAGTTTTAAGTTAAACTTTTCCCAAAATTACTGAGTTTTTACAAAGGACATAAGACCCTCCTGCTATACTCACTGTGAACTTGAGGAAGATGAGGCCTCTTTATGTCTTGGGTTTGACAGATGTGTTTCTTGCCTTCTCTGTCTAAAGCCTGTCCATCTTGTAGTTGTAACGTTAATATTAATTATTTGTGATGGCTTTATAGTTATTACCAGAGTACTGTTATTTGTACTGTTAATTTCTAAATGAATTTGATTCACAGAGCCTTCTCACAGCAGATATTCTGATTGGTAGCAGGAAAAGCACAGGTGGAAGTGATGACAGTAACGATGACTCCTGCAGCAGTGCAATCAGTGTTATCAGTCGCACCTGTGTTGGACAGTTAGACTGTCTACTGTGAAAAAGGTTTATTCAGCTTTTCTTAGACCGGATCGGGAAGCACTTGTTTAAGCAATCTTATGAGAGACCTGATCCGCTTTGAATACAGAGTATAAATGATACATTTACAGATATTTTAGACTAGGACAGCACACGCCAGCCATGATTTGGGTACTAATGCAGACTCCAATGAGGCTTTCATCATTAAATATCAAACTAATCACATCTCATCTTCTTTTTGTCTGTTATTCTCTGTAGATCTGCAGTTTAGGCTTGATGAGAGAACAGCCCACAGTAGCCTAGACCTCTTCAAGAAAGACACTGGTATAATCTACCGCATGCTGGGCCTGGACCCCAGCCATGTGCCAAACAACCCAGAGCGTTTCCGAGACTGGGCCGTCGTGTTTGGTGATGAGAAGATCAGCAGCGGAAGACACTACTGGGAGGTGACTGTCAAAAAGTCTCAAGAATTTCGTCTGGGTGTGGCTGAGGCGTTGATGTGCAGAGACGAGTGTGTGGGCACCAACAACTCCTCCTGGATGTTTGGCTACGCTCAGCGCAAGTGGTTTGCCATGACCAGCAATAAGATGGTTCCTGTGACGCTAGTAGGAAAGCCTGACCGTGTAGGCATCCTGCTTGACTACGAAGCGGGGGTCCTGGGGCTGGTGGACATTGAGAAGCCCAGGATCATTCATAGCATCAGGGTTCAGTTCAAGTCACATCTCTGCCCCGCATTTGGACTTTGGGACGGGGAACTGCTCACGCACTCTGGTCTGGTGGAGCCTGAAGGCCTGAAGTGAAGCAGGATAAACTGTGATGGCTATGATTGTAATGGTCTTGACAGGCAGTGGGCTGGGCATAGCACCATGGAAACACTTATCACATTATCTTTAATGCAGGAAAGAAAGCAATATCTTCCTTGGGAATCATGTACAGCTTAACTTCAGATGATGGTTAATTTTCTGTGGGCCAGCTGGTTCATAATCATGACTCTTAACAATGCAAGTTCATACTTTGTGTATGTCATTCGACCTCAGGCATTCATATCACAGAAGCTGTTTTGTGTGTACCTCGTGTATTACCTCTCAGATGTGTGGTTGAGAGAAACATTAACTGCCAAGTTTTTCTTTTACACTTTGTCTTCTGGTGTTACCAACAGTTACAAAGCTCAAATCTGCACAAAACCTTTTTCAGCCTCATGTTCATACTGTATATTGTTTAATAAAATAACATCACTCAAACTGCTTTCATATTATTTACAGCAGGAAGATACATATTTACAGTGACAGACTAAAGATAGTCATGCTGAGGAATCATTTCTTTGCCAGAGTTTAAATGAATTAAAACACTGACTTTCATTTGAGCTGATTCAACTGTATAATAAGTTTTTATAACATGACTTAGTTATGCATAAGTTTCCATTTTCCTCATGTCAGAAAGTATCACTTCAGACATGACTGTGTCTAGTTTGCAACACTCATTTGGACAAATTGTAATTTAACTATATATTTTGTGCTAGAACTACCAAAATGCACATTGTTCCCAGCGCCTGAGACATGCATGTTTCTGTGACATACAAGTAACAAAAAGAGCTCATGTGAATGAAACGAGTAATTCCTCCCAAAAGAAAAAAATAACCAGCACGACCACTGCGGTGTATCAGCAGTAAATAAACTGGCTTATAGACCTCAGTGAGCTCACATCAACTACAATGAAACAGTCCTTCCAGGCACAAATGCAAATAAATCACCTCCCACTGAGGTAGAATAATCAACAAGCACCTTTAGGAATATTTATACACTTATTACACAGGGGGTATCAAACCTTGATTAAATAAAATAATGATGAAGCAAAATATATTAAAATATTTTAAAAAATAAATAAGCAAAATATATTTGATATGTACATCTCAATTTTTTTGTCAGAAGCTAAGCACAAAAACTGTTGCGAAAGCCAAATCATGGTATAAATTAATATAATTTTTTTTTTCCATACAAGCAGCATATTGCCTGTTTCTATACTGCTGTGTTGATACATTATACTGACCAAACCTCTGGTCAGCAAAAATGCACTAAAAAGGAAATGAATCCTGCATTTTGCAGCTTTTCAACAGTCCAAAAAAGTCACTCACTCATCACATCTCTCAGTCACCCTGTGTCCTTTCAGTCCTCTCAGGTGCATAATAGGATAAATTGATTTCCATTACAAACCCTCATGATCCTTTGTGGTTTAAACAATGCTCTTCAACGTATCCAGCGTGGCCTTCTGTTCCTCTGGGTCACCTGGTGAGTCGCCCTCAGTGGTTGCACGCTGGTAATCTTGCAGGACTGAAATAACAACATCATGGCCAAACTGCATGGCATCATCTAGGGGTGTGTTCCCCCATCTGATAGATGACACAATGTAATATGGAGATGGATGGATTGTTATAGTTAGTAATATGGAGATGGATATATTTTTCTACCGTTTTTAATCTAACATCAGATGAATGAGTTTGTATTTAAAAAACTCTTACCTGTCTTTCATGTGGGGATTCACTTTGCATATTTCAGTCAGGAAGATTACAGCTTCCACATGACCTGAAAGAAAAACAATTCTCATCAATTGTGATCATATTTCCAAACCAGACTAAAACGTAATGTAAATGCCATATTTAATTTGTCGTTTGAATATCAAAGCCAAGATTATTGAAGAATGAATGAACTAATAATGAAGAGTCACCTTCGGCTGCAGCGATGTGGAGTGCTGTGCGCGAGTCGTAGTCTCTCTGCTCCATGTTGACGGCTGAAAGGGCAAACCTGGAGGGATAATAAAGGAGCAGAGGAGAGCAGAGAGAACATGCATGGAAAGGTTAACTCCAGTGATGGCAAACTGTTAGAAACTGTGCTGAGAAGAGCTGAGTATCCCTCTAATTAAATGAGGGAAGAACATGCTTTGAAAAGCAGACCTTGGATCGATACCAGTTTCTGTAAAGTGTGAAGCTAAAGCCAGGAGATGGTTAGCTTAGCTTAGCATAAAGACTGGAAACAGGCGGAAACAGGTAGCTGGGCTCTGCCCAAAGGTTAAAAAAGAATCTGCCCACCAGCACCTGTAAAGCTCAGTAATTAACATGATATATCTCGCTTGTTTAATAAAGTGTAAAACCAAAAAGTTTACCAGGCATACCAAATCCCCATAAAACCACAACTTCTCATTCCTCTCAACTTCTTAAACTTCAGTTTTAATTAAACAGACAAAATATAATGTGGTAATTAGTGCGCTTTAAAGGTGCTGACAGGCAGATGTTTTCTGTTCAACTGACGTTTCCCCGTTTCCAAGCTAAGCTGACTGGTTGCTGGCTGTAGTCATATTTTTAGTGTTCAGAAATGAGAGTAGTATCAACCTTTTGATCCAACTTTTTTGCAGGATAAATGGCAAACTATTCTTTCAAGACTGCATCACCCAATTATTGTCCACTACTCGGTGATGAAGAATGAAAGGCCATGTTTCTCTTGTTACTTACCTCCTCAGAGCAGAGACGTCACCACTGTATGCTGCAAACATTAGGTTCACCACCGACTTGTTCTGAAGGATCAAAAGGCAAACACTACCGTATGAAAGTGGAATGATTTACATTAAAGTTTTTTTTTTTGCATGAAAATCCTTCTGCAGTATTTCTAATTCACCTAGAGAAGCAGCCATGTGCCTTAGCATGAATCTGAGAATCTACTTTTATGGCACGGAACTTACTGGATCATCATCTGATCTTCTTCTGGGGTCATGTTTCTTTGTGAAGTGTCTCAGGTTGTCGTAATTGTGGAAGTTGAAGCATGACACCAGCTCCTAGTGAATCAAAATTTGAATAAGATAGGAATGTTTGAAAGATGCAGATACAGACAAATTAGGTGAAGATAAATTAATACAACTGTGATGGCGACTGCATACCTGACAGAAGTGAATGCCACGAACACTGTTTCCAAGCCGATCTAATGGTGGGGACCAACACATCATACCCATGACGTTGGGGACCACCAGCAGAACAGCACCTGAAACACCAGATTTAGCAGGCAAGCCCACCTGAACAAGAGGAATAAGTCAAATGTCTGGTTAAAAAAAATCAGGAGTGCTTCAACATCACATGACTAGCTAACACTTGGAGTTATAAGGCCAACAATGCTTTTGAACAGATGGCTGAATTCCTTGTGACTCACATGGAAAGCAAATTGTCCAGAGAAGTCGTACATGCCACAGGAATGCATGAGACTCAGGGTGTTACGAACTGCTTCAGCGCTCAGCACACGCTCGCCCGTGATTGGACAAATACCGCCATTGGCCAGTGTGGCAGCCATGACGCTTCCTGACTCACAGGTCACCTCAATGGAACACAACTGTAACAGAAGAAAAAAACAACAACAAAAAACTTTTGAAGTGAAGAAGCATATAGAAAAGTTTTGAAGCAGTAATTTGACATGTTAGGAAATTTGCTTTATTGCTGAGAGTTAGATGAGAAGGTCGATACGGTACGGTAAATATTAAGCTGCAGCCAGCAGATAGTTAGCTTAGCTTAGCAGTGGGACCAGGGGAACCTGCTAACTTGCTGTATCTAAGGGTAACAAAATTTGCCTGACAGCCAATATTAGAGGTGCAGCATCCAGTTGTGTCGTGTTCTGACACCATCACAACTGGTGTGTGTGTGTGACCACCAGCTCCTTTTCTCTCTCTGCTATCTTTAAGCACCAGGTCAATTTTTAATGCAGCATGGATCTCTGAAGCATGACATTTACTTGTAAATGTATATAAATGCCTTTAATTATTGAGAGTTGAAAATAATTTTTTAATGGCAAGACTGGTTGGAGCTAACAGAAAAGCTGCAGTAACTCAGATACAATAACCACTTTTTACAAGTGTGGTGACCAGAAAAGCATCTCAGATGAACAACACATTGAACCTTGAGGTGGATGGACTGCTACAGCAGAAGACCACGTCAGGCTCCACTCCTGTCAGCCAAACAGAAGTCTGAGGCTGCAATGAACACAGTCCTGGACTGTTGAAGACTGGAAAAAATATAGCCTGGTTTGATGAATCTGGATTTCTGCTAATCTTTTAATGGCTACTTCCAGCATGATAATGTCCCATGTCACAAATCAAAGTCTCAAACTGGTCTCATGAACATGACAATGAATTCAGTGAATTTCACTGGCCTCCTCAGTCACCAGATCTGGATCTGAGTACAACACCTTTGGGATGTGACAGAACAGGAGATTCTCAGCATGAATTTGCAGCTGAAAAATCTGCAGAAATGATGTGATGCAATCATGTCAACATGGAGAAGAATCTCTAGGGAATGTTTCTAACATCTTGAGGAATCCATGTCACGAGGAACTGAGGCTGTTTTGAGAGCAAAGGGAGGAACAACGCAGTATTAGCATGGTGTTCCTACTGAAGTGCTCTGTGAGTGTTGATGTCCTCATTAACATATTTTTCTGTTACTGTTGTCAAACAGCGCAACAAGCGTGTAATTTGATTATGGCTCATACATACTGTGTAGACCAGCAGACATGCCAAGCTGCTGGGCTACAGATAAAATCATTATGTCATGATTACAACATTGTCAAACAAAATTAACAAAAATATAGATTAATGTGCCGTGAGATCAACTACATACAGGGTCAAGTTAAAATTAAGACGTAAGATATTTCAAGTACCACACAGAATGAAAAACCAGTGTCATGGTCATACTGGCCAAAGTTTGAAATAAATCACTGAAAACCAGTAGGAATGGACTCAAGGCACTTACAAAGTGTGCTCATTAATTAACATGTTAAATCTTGTTTGTTCCATCTGTTCAAAAAAGTGTTAACACAAGTAGGTTTTACAGGGGAGATATGATCCTTGGCTGAGTGTAATGACTTCTTGGAGTCGTGTTGTTACCATGAGATTGCCAGGCAACCAGAGCAGGCTAAGCTAAATTAACTTGCTGCTGGCTGTGATTTCATTTGTATTCTACAAACATGACAGTATTATCTATATTCTCTGCTAACTCTTGGCAAGAAAGTAAAATGTCAAACTATTCCTTGAAAGTTGCATCCAGAGAATAACACACTGTTAACAGCAAACTGTCTCACCTGAAAGTAGAAGTCAAGGGCCGCAATCATATCTGCATTGTCAGGAAAGCACTGCAAGGACAACAGCTTACAATCAGAGTCAGAGTATACTCAGCGTGCACTCAGTTTTTCTGAAAACATGAGCACTGAGCGAGCACTTAAAGTGATTGTGATTACCGTAAATACAAACCACCAAAAAACCCTCACCCTTTTCTCTTTCAGGTAATAACCAATTGCATAATTCCGATCACCGGTCTCCCTCTCTGACTGAAAACTGCAAGAACATAACAGGAATGAGAAAGCTGCATTTCAGAGGACAATTGTGGTTGCATTTCCTGAAGCACGGTACTCACGTTGCATTGCTGAAGCCCACAAACTCTGTACCAGCCATGCTTTTCAAGAACTCCATCACCTACAATAAAATCACATACAGATGGTTCAGTAGGGACACGAACCAATAAGTGGCATCAAAAAAATTGTGAAAATGAAAAGTATTTACTTACATAGTCGAACCTCTCGGCTTTATTTGAATGAGGCTGTCAACAGAGGGGGAAAAAAATCATTCTCTGATGCCAGTTTAAAGTATACAAAGAGACTGTGAGTCCCTACAGATGGCAGTGTTTGAGTACTTTGACAGTAAAGCATAGCTTTGAGTCTAATCTTGGGTGGACGTTGAGATATGACGTGTACATGATGCCTTCATGCCTGTATGTCCATGTGGCAATGTGCTCACTGTGTCCTGGGGGCTGTTTATGGCTGTGCTTGAATTTCACAGACTGGTAAGGGATCATTACCAAGCTATAAAGTTACCCAACAGAGACGGTAGTCCCATTCATATTTAATGACTTAACCTATAAAGGGTAAAGATGATATCAAATATTACTGGTAGTAGTTCCTCTCTAGAGCAAGTTTTTGAAGAAAACATATACATTTGTGACATTTAAACTTTTAGTGGTACAGCTGTTCTCGCAGAAAGTCAAAAACAGCTTTTATCAACTTTGTACTTTATTTTTCCTTTTCTTTGCACAAAATATCAAGCTTTTAAGTATATAACCTCCTCAGTATGATGCAAATAGAGTACACAAACTGTATTTGCACAATATAGCCCCCCTGTACAGTTATGCACATGGAGGGGGGGGCTGTCCACACACCTTCTATTCTCAGGGCTGTAATTGGCCAGAAGTGCACACACCCCTGCTGTCAGGCCAAAATTCAATGCCCTCCCTCACTGCTGGACATGACCTACATATGATAAGAGACCCAGAGCATCTCTTCAGTCAGCTGTGAAACTTCAGGAAAACTCCACAGAGGAAACACATACATAACCATATATGACTAAAACCCACCCCCAATGTCTTACAATAAGGCCAAAGCTCACAGATGAGTTTGACGGCTGGTCAGTCGGACGATGATGACCATAGTCCAACTGCTGTGGGCAACAAGTAACCAGCCAATAGATGAGTGACTAGATATGTCATAGCTGTTGCTGAGTTCATACTTCAGGAGTGTGTTTACTCACTGATTCTCACACCAGGTTGTGCAAAAATGTTGTTTTCTATCATTTTTTATTGTGAATATTACAACATCACCAACAGATTCAGTTTTAAGACAAATAACACTCTGTGGCTTCTCACTGGGCTTGAACCCCGTCTAGTGCTGCAGTGGCTGAGGCCTTCATAACCATAATGATAATTATTTTCAAGACTCAAAAGCTTACAGCTATCTCGTTTTGTCTTAATACTACCAAAACTGTTTTATTTTAGACAGGGCCTGTTCCACAAAAGTAAATTGCTGGCACTGTTTACACACAGACTGCAAATAGAGGCATTGTCACGTTTCACATTGACTTTTGTTGACAAATTTCATCTCATGTTGCAAAATTTGGTGCATTGGGCCTATGTATATTTTTTGCACAGCTTCCTGTTTCTGCTGAGGATTCAGCCAATAGCAAAAAGAAATTGAAAGCTTAATTTGTGGATGTCTTTTAATGGTAGTACGTAAGTCTGACTGTGCTCTTTAGTTTCTTGTTTTTCATCATTACTTTTGAAGCCCTAACTGATTAACCTTTTGAACTGTAATTAAGTCTGGTGAGACTCTGCAGCGTAAGAGTTATAATTGACGGGGGAAAACATTTAATAAGGTCGGGGGTTTAAAAACAGAGTCTATTTTTGGCCACGACATGGTACCTCCTGAGATGTAGACTGTTTTTGCCCTGATACGCTGATTAATGACAATCAACTATGTAATATGTTTTGTGTGCATATTCTAAAAAAGAAACCTCTGTGTTTAGTCAGTGCTGACAAGCCTTTAGATTTTACCTTAATTAAAGAACTGATGACGATAGCTCCAGCATTCACCATCGGGTTGTGTGGTTTATCTGCACAAGAAATGAGAGCATGTTATCACTGATTTGTCCCTAAACACAAGAGCAATAAACTGTGAGATTAGAGAGTATATTTCCTGAGGGGGTCTTAGAGTAACATCAGCTAACAAACTGAACAGATACACTTCTGTTTGCTTTGGAGGCGAGTATGTAATAGCAAATAGCTACAAAGGTGAGGTGATAAAATGGTACACAGTCTGGCTAGAAGTCCATCAGGACAACTTATTTTTTGCTTTTGAAACTGTGGCTTGTTCTTGCAATACATTTGCTCTGTTGTCAACAATCGGAATCAGTTGAAATTACAGGTCAAGAACCAGAGTTTCCAAGATTTCTCAATAACATATTAGAGGAGAAGGTGTACACAGCAGTATTGTTATTGCTTGTTATTGTCTATAGAGGACAGCTGGAGACAACTAACCACTTACCTTCCTCATTTAGTGACAGTTTGTTGAACTTGAATCCACTGGGCTCTTTGCCCACAAAGTGGTGAACACGCTCGCTGCCAAGCTCGTGCACGGCAATGGCGTACTCCAGAGGCTTCACACACGACTGCAGACAGAAGGGAACCTTGGTGTCACCCACAGAGTATCTGCATCACATGAGGATGTAATGGAGGAGCATGGAAAAAAATAAAAACAAAACAAATCAAAACAAAAATGGAGGTTTGTTAGTGATGCGGTGCACACGATGGAGGATTTCAGAATGGAAACATAAGTTAACGTGAAGATGTTACCTCACCTCTGTCCGTCAATTGTGCACAGAGATACACCCCAGAGATCACAGCTGAACTTAGCCAGCTGAGGAATGTAATCAGCTACCTGCAAAATGAAATGGAAATGTGAGTGACAGTGTAGTACAATGAATAAGAAAACACTGAGCCAGTATGTGTGTTTACTTACCTGTCCTGCCTCCTGCTGTTGTGCACGGTCATACATCTTATTTATCTGCTGGGTAAACTCTTCAAATTTTGGGATGATAAACTTTTTTCTGAAAGCTTTAGTGAGCAGCATGATGTTGTTGCCCACACACCTGCAAGAGGACACACAATTGAATCGATCGTCACAGGGTTAGGTATCAAACACTTCAAAGACAGATTCTGCAATTACTGTTGGATTTATAATTCAAATAATAGACAATGATTTTTGTAAGAGCTCACAGATGGTATTAAATTTAATTTTTGATGCTCACAGCATTGAACATTTACATAAAATGCAAAATGTAATAGCAACATGAGAATTTCAAACAAAATTCCATACACCTCCATTGTATTGTAGGGGTCTCATAGTAAGCAAAGCACAGGTGTTACTAATAACATTAACGATGGCTCTGTTGTATTCAATTGTCAGTAAGCCAGCAGGCACAACACCAGGAGCTTCAAACTGCAGCAGCTAAATGGAGCTCAGCCAAAATTAATTTTATCATTTACACCTGTTGTTTTGCTACTATGACATGCCAAAATGTCTGCTGTGAAAAAAGACAACTATTAATCAGAGTAACAGGAACTGAAATTAAATTCCATAGCTTCAGGCAGTGGTACAGTTAGCAGGATTGTTAACAGGATAGCTACATGCTACTATGGCTAATCTGACCTCACTAAATAAGCTAAGTAGCTAACATGGAGTTACAGTTGTACTCAAAAGTTCAGACAAATTCCATATTTTGGTGATTTTTTGAATTGAAAAGATGTAAATACAACCTCTGCAACAAACACATTGAAAATGGGCATTTTTTCAAATGTTAATGCACTTTTACCATTTATTTAATTAGTTAATTAGCTGTTAAGCGTTGGGGGTTACACTATTCTGCTTTAGGGTTGTGTGGCAGGCAGTGAGACAGGAAAATCTGCACAGATCAGAAGAAGAATGGATTCCACTAAATATCAGCAAATTCAGGATGCAAAGGTCCGGCAGTCAGTCAAGAAATTCAAAGTGAAAAGAAGCTGATTGCAGGATAATGAACCTAAATCAGACCTCAAAATCTATCATTAGCTACTTCAAGAAACACAAGCTGGAGCTTTTAGGAACAGCCCCCACAGTCCCCTGACTTCATCATTGAATCTGTGGGTAGATCTTAAACATGCTGTGTGTGCGAGACTGCCTAAAAATATCTCAGAACTTCAAGTGAAGTGCAGAGTGGGTGAGCGTTCTAAATCAAGAATAGACAGACTCTAAGCTGCTACAACAAAGCATGTTTTCAAGCTGTGATATCTGCCAAGGCAAGGTTTACTAAGTACTGACGTAGCGGGGTGCCCAAACTTTTGTCCACACCACAGTTACACTTTAGTTTTTTCAATACTTTAAGTTTGTGACATAAAAAGTGACAGTGAATTAACATTTAGAGAAAAGCTCGCTTTTTAATGTCTGTTTGCTGCAGGGGGTGAATTCACTTCTTTCAAATTTTCAAGTGACTACTAAATCAACAAAATATTTAGTTTGCCCATGGATGCCCAAACATTTGCATTACACATTGCATTTATATTTAATTAAAATGGGTTTTTTTTATTGTGTTAATGGGCTTTCATCATTTTTTTTCATCACATTGGATTCAAAGTGACCAGTGTCAGGTAATAAACACCCAGCTAAAATACTTATAACAGATTTCCATTGCAGTAATTGATCAGCAGTGCTGTATGCTTGAAAGGAAAGGTGTGCACATTCTGTCACAGCTTGTCTGAACTAAAATATCTGTCCTTTAGCCCTCACTGATCCAAGGCGATGCTAGCGTGAGGCTTTGGGACACCAGAAGAAGAGAGTGGAGAGAGCTTGCATTATTCATATGGGTCATTTCCAAAAAAAAATTGAAGATAGCTCTCTCTATTTCTAGTAGTATATTTATAGTGAGCTCTTGAGTGTTCTTCAGGAATGGATAACCTCACAAATGTCAGAAAACAAGCACAGACAAGTCGGATAGGGCCAATTAAGTTTGATGAAGATGACCAGACTGCGTAATGTTCTGCTGTTCCAGGCCAAAAGATGAGTCTGAGTGAATTACACTTGTCAGTTAGGAAACTATACTGTTTGGACAGCAGTCTGCATGGAGCTCACAGATCTGTTGAGTCTACTAATGTAATTGCCACAGTCTGGAGCTAAACCAGAATGATGCCCTTTCATTAACTGCCCCTGAGACCCCTCTATCCCGTGCACTCTACTGCTTTGGCTGGCATGTGCGCATGTGAATTTGGTTAGTAGCAGCTGTCAGCCATAAAACGCCTGCATCTGTCAGTCTCTTGGACTCAAATAGCGCTGACCACAAATAATCTCCTTTACATAAGCACAGAAAAGTAAGAAAGACCCTCAACCTAACCTTGCACCTTGTACCCATCCTTTTCTCCAATATTTCAGAACATTGCAGTTTTTACAAACTAATAGTAAGTAAGAAGAAATTTGATTGAGAAATTGAATGAACACTAGGTAACACTGCAGCAGTGATATAAACCCAATATATAAGAAAAGTACATGCATGTAAAAGTTGAAGCTGTAAATACACAAATCTTTCCTCACCTTCTGAAGAACTTCTTGTCCATCATGACAGGCCCGACAGAGTCTCGTGTGGATTGTCGCATCTGATGGACACAGTCACGCAGCCGAGGGTCAGACGTCAACAAACCTGTTTTTCTCAAAGCCTGCAGAAGAAGGAAAGTTGGTAGGTTTCATCAAATGAACACACATGGGAGGAAAGTAGGAAGTCATAAATGACATAAATAAGACTTTATCAAAGACTTTGAGTCATGCACAGCAGTGTTTATGCGATGCCAATTAGCAGGATATCAAATGTGCGTGGATGGAATATATAGTTAGGGGACTTCAAAGGCTCAGGGGTGCCCACATGCCTCTGAGGAAGAAATACAGGTGTAGACCGGATCACTGGAAACCCTCTCACAAGTCACATGACTGGCTGAAAGTCCCTGTATGAACCACGTGCATCTATTTTGGGGACACCATGTGCACGACCCTCCTGACCAGAGAGGCTCCAATGTTTTTTTGAGTCATCTCCTCTAATAACTGATTCACTGAGCAAACAGACCAAGTATACGGCAAGCTTGATGTTGCTGTTACTGCATGTCTGTGAGTGATTCTTATAGCTTCGGGCCAGGAAATGCTGAAGTTGCTGAATGCTGAAATCAATTTTGATAATCCATTAATTGTTAGTCATGTTATAAAGGAACATGACAAAAATTCACTGGTTCTCTCCATCTTAACTAGGCATTAGTTTATGATTGGGGAATAAAAGATATTTTCCTAAATGAAAAACTGAGTGAATGAGAAATGAAAATGTGTTAATGGAGTGAAAACTTTTACAATTATTTCCAATACAAATCAGCTTGTTTCCTCAACTTTCTAAAATTAAATGTAATTTTTGTGATATTAGTGCAGTGATTTCTCATTCTATGTTGCCTTCTCTACAAGATAAACTGGAATAAACTAACTCTGACTTCTGAAACAATATATATATTTTTTTTTTTTAACCAAGAAATATTCCTGTAGGCTGATTTTAAGTCTAAGTGACAGCAATTATTGATGTTATTGACATGCAGGGACACTGAATAACACTTTCACCATGTATGTCCTGCCCCAGTCACCTCTACAAAAACATCTAGTTATGCGTGGCCTAACAACAAGCCACCTGTGTTGACACATGTCTCTTCTCCCAAATGCATGCTCCTTTTGAAAATCGGAGTTGCCATAGACACCGAGGTCACCAGATGTTCATGTTTGCCTTTTTTTTATGACACTATCTAAAAGGTTGCACCACAGAAGCTAAAAGAGGGTGCAGTGGTTTGCAATAGCTTGTCAGTTATCGGAGAGCACAAAAACACCACACAGTCTGTGTCCTGCTCATCTCCTGAAATATGTATAATGTAGGAATGGCCCCCTTGCAAGGCTATGAAAATATAAATAACTGTGGCACAGGTTCACAAAAGCTTGACATTTCTTCAGTAATGTGTGTGTGTGTGTATGTATGCATGTTGTTGTTGATGGTGATTTCCTCACGCCTAAGTGTCACACCCACCATATTATTACATAAGGTTTCTAAACACCTTTTAAACTTGACCCTACATCCAGCTGGAGACATTCTGTCTTCCTGTTGTGGGCTCCTATTTCACTCCCCAAGGTTGATTTAACCAAAGTCAAAGGGGCTTTTCGAAAGATAACACAGCAGTAAGAGACAGTGTGTTTGTGTTGTAAATCCACATACGCCACAGTCAAGACAGCCATATGACAGAGGAAGTGTGACGATGCTGTTGACTCACAGAGATGAACTGGGAGAGGGGGATCATCTCTTTGCCTTCAGTGATGGTGTAGAAAAGTAGGTCCTCCATACTGGACATTAACCTACTTGTGCTAAAAAAAAACAACAACATACATCTTTAGATTTGGACTCGCTCCAATCCAGTTACAAGCCTGAGCAGTGTGTCAATGTTTATAAGTCAACACCATGACCAGTAGTGAAAATTCTGGCAAACGTCCAGGTACTGACCTAGTTCTTTACATGAAATGTGTGTGTGAGGGAAGCAATGATCTCTGCTCCATGACTGATTACTTTAAATGTATAAACCAGTATTTTGAATTTTTAATTACTTACCTTGTTGAGTTTTATGTTAATAAAACATATTTCTTTTTTTTTTTAAACAGGAGATGAAAAAAGTTATAAATACAAATGCAAATAGTAGAATTAAATGTCAAGTGCCAACTACAGGTACATATTTTGTGTGTAAAGTATAGTAAAGTATAAGCATAAATTTATTAGGGAGATGGACGTTTTGACTATTTACCTTCTGAAAAGGGGCTGCAGGACATTATCAGACATGACTTATTAAAAAGTGTGAAACATGAAACCTTTGGTAATGACTTACTAATGTTTATAATGGCAGATTTGATGGGTTGGATAAGTCTCCTTAATGAATTCAAGAGATAGCAAAGTGCCATGCTGGGGAGGATTTTTCTTTACCTGGCAACCCAAAAGTTATTATTTATGGCTTATAACTGATCTGTAAAGCATTAGTATGCAATGTATGAACCACTAATAAAGCCTTTAACTACACATTTTAAACCTTTATGAATGATGCCCTATCAGAAAGTGGTACCAAAATATTGATGTTGGTATTAATATCAAGGATCTTCGCCATGGTATTACTTGGTTTCCCACTGAAACCAAATTTTGTGGTATAGCCCACTCCTACTAGATATACAGGCGACAGTTAGCTTAGCATAAAGACTGGAGTAAAAGGGAAACAGTTGAAAAAATCCACCTACCATCCCCTCTATAGTGTACTAATTAGCACATAATATCTTGTTTGTTTAACATTTTCAACTCCAGTGTGCTGCAGCTCCAGGACTATTTTTTGGCCGGGCATAATAACTTCATACAGTCTTGACCACAGGTCTTGATGTCCCAGGTTGGTGTTTTTTTCACTACATTAACTGCAAGGCAGTTCAGTGGCAGTTTGATGCTCACCAATATCATCAACAGTTGTTCAGTGGCAGTGATGCACAGACAGCTAGTTTAAACCCCTGAGCCTTAATTTATGTCAAAATTGGACTAATAATTCAGTCTTTCCAAATATATCATTATCTGCAATGTCCATCACAAATAAAGGCCCATAAACCCTCTTAAAGTTTTTTTTAAAGTTGCTCCTTAGCTCCACTTGCCTGAGAATGAGAAAGTTTTCTTCAGCATTATCCAATAATATACAGTACATCAAACAGCACCTGCTATTTGCAAATTAGGCCTAGCCTGCCTCATTTCCAAAATGTAGGCTAAACAAAACATGGTGTCAAGCTGCTGTTCATCTGTTCATAAAGTGGAGACTTTTAACTTAAATGTAGCCTTATCCAAAAAAGTTTGTATAGAATACTTTAATTTTACAGATATTTAAGATCATATTCTCTATATATAAGATTTTTTTTTTTCAACTCATCTAAATGAAAACCAAAATACAGGCTACTTTTACGTCCTTTGAACGACACTGGTTGCAAAGCAACCCACAAAAATTCCTGGAAATGGCTGTGCCAGTGAAGAAACAGTCTTCACATAAAATCCAAGTCTTTTTAACATCTCTGATGTAATCCCTTGAAATCGCAATTTATTTTTATACTTTAGTTTGTGTATGGGATAAACTAACGAGATATAACGTGTTAATTAGTGAGCCGTGGGCGCTTGCATAAATTTTTATAACCATAATGGAACCAGGCTAGCTGTTTCCCAGTGTTTCTAGTCGTTGTGCTAACTTAACTAAGCTAAGGCTCTTCTGGCTGTAGTTTCGCTATTATCATCTAATTTCAAGCAAAATTGTAATTAAAGGTAGTTTATGTCAAACTTATCTTTAAAGCTTAAGAAATAATTAGCGCTGATCCACAGAGATGCTATAGGCTAAAACAGATATTTTACGGCACAAGTCGCATAAACCCCCTATAGGAATATTGTAGGGATATGCTAATGGTTTTAACAATGGAATATTGTTAAGAAATTATGAAGAACAGAGATGAATAAGATTTTGGCTAATTAATGTTGATTTATTCATTTACAGCCTACTGTGACCTACTTGGAGTGTCCTTGGTCCACATCAGGCCCCTTCTGGTGATGAAAGGCTCTGTGGTTGTGGGGTGATGCTACGACCCAGCAGGGGAGAGGAACAGGTTGTTGTGTCCTGGACAAGACAATGCTGTCAGCTCCAACTCTGGCAGAGATCCCTGCATTTTTAAACAGCTGCAAGATTCCTGGGTTAGCTGTCCTCAGACTTTTCAGGCAATGCATTGTGATAAGTAGGACTTAATTTTTAATAATTCAAAAGAGCTTTTTTTCCCCAGCAGCTGATTTAGAGAGATTTTTGTGACCAGTGCCCCTTGGTCCTCAGGGTTTTAATAGCTGCTGCTGTCATAAAGACTGAAGCAAGTACAGACTGTTGCTTGGGGGCGGGGCTTTGACAGGGCAGCACGTTGGCTCAGACTGCGGGGTCAACAACCACCAGCTACTGAAACCAACTGTTTCAGCCAACCAGGTATAACTTTCTACTGCAGCTGCTGATTAACAGGGGTTTGGGGGGAGTTCATATCTATTCCTTATATTACATTAACTAAGTATATTTCTGTTTTCTGCAGCTTTGTATGCTGTTAATTATGTATGCTACTTTACAAAGCTTTTAATACTACCACTAACAGCAACAAAAACAATATTATTATCACCATGCTGCTTTTATTATTACTGTTAATAATGATGAGGGTGGCAATAATAAGAATACTAGTTGTTGGTATCACAACAGGAATCATTATTAAATCCTCTGTGACGAAGTGTGTCATCTTTATCTGTCATTTGTTAGATTTAATCTGTTAGTAATTTAATCTAAACATGGACTGGTATGCATGATCAAGTCAGGGTATTTGTTAATGTCTTGTCTGGTAAATAATATAAATAGGTGAGCAGTTTGTGCCTCTAGAGAATCATTTTTGTACTGTTGTGGGATGGCGACACCCTATGGTGAGTTTCCCACACTGACGCACTGAAACCTTACTGTCTTGTCCTCTAGGTGGCATACTCACTCCAGGACCCTCCACTCAGACCAGTCTCTGCTCCCTGGCTCTTGTTGTTTTGTTGAGAGGACACATTGCAGTCATGTGTCTGAGATTCTGCCTCTCCAGAGGTTTTTTTTGAGGCAGGTTTCCTGGTGCTTCAAATGCACTTTATTGTATAATTTGTGATTTTTTTGAATTTGATGCCCGGCTTCCGGTCTTTGATGTTGTGTGCGATGCTGCATGTTGACCACCACACCTTTTAATCCTCAGTAAGACAATGGCTGACTGTGATGGAGCATTTTAGAATATAGGAGGAAATGAGGTTGAATTAAATCTTTTGCTATTTATCAACTTTTTGAGCTGTTTTTCATTTCCCTCTTCTTTTCAAGGCAGTTCTTAAGATGGCAACTTAAACGGTTCAGGACATGGTCACAGATCCTGATGATAACCCACCACACCCATGTTTAGTTTCACAGCACACATCCTAAACATTCACATTCTACCTTTCTCACACTTTCAGACTGTGTCGTGTCACTTACTAAGCAGACTCTACATAGTGACATGATATTATCTCTATTACCAAATAAACAAGGCCTCACAAGGTTCTGGTGGTCTCCTCTGCATTTCTAGGCATGTGATTTCTCCAAAGGGGTGCATGCTAACCCATGGCCTCTCTGCTCTACCTCTACCGGTTATAGCTTCTCTGTTTTCAGGAGAAAATGTTTTCCATTCCTGGGCCAATGAATGCCACCTTTGTCCCTTCATCCTCCATCTTGTGTGAGAAAGCCCCCCTCACTGCACTCACCAAGCCTGCACAAACTTAACCTCTTCCCCCCTCCACCTCACACAGGAAAAGAAACATACCGGGTCTGGTGCTTTGATTCAGGCTCAGTAATCTGGAGGTCTGGATAAAGCCCTGGCTTAGAGGCCACTTTGGACAGTCAGTTTTAGGTACTTAGGGGGTAGTACCTGCTGAAATATGATTGGGACAGTGTGTTAATCAGATAAAATATTATACTCTGGGATCATAAAACAAGTGTAAGATAAGCTGATTTATATTTGAAATTGTGTTGTAATGAACATGGTAATATAGATATATCTATTAGTTCTAAAGGAATTTAAAGCACTTGAACACAATACTTATATTATCATTATCCCCCTGTCCTGGCCACATTACACCAATTACACTACCATTTTCATAAGGTTGAAGCGTGCTTATTTTTCTAAATCACAAAAAGCCCTTCTGGGCCTTGAACATACTCTACTCAGGCTACCACTGACCACTCATGTTGGACTGAATTGCCTAAAACACTTTAATTTAACCCGTTTCAAATTATTGTTAAACCTCAACTGTCACTGTCCACTGTCAAACTTAAGACTGTCTGCATAGTGATAATTTGATATTAAGTGGAGGCATGAAATAAGTACAGTACATGATGAAACAAAGCTGCTTCTTAGAAACTGTTAAATGCTTTTAGGGATTTAATGCATCGTTTAATGCTGCTCTCAAATTAAAGGATAAGAGCCATTATCCCTGTGCCGCCCAGAGTGAAAGGAATTCCATCTCTTCCCTAAATTGACTTTCCCTCAAACAGTGACACACACACACACACACACACACACACAG